TCTGCAACCTGCGCAGCGTCCTCCAACTCTGAGCCTCAGCCGCCAACGTGTGAAATGAGGATGAGTGGTTAAAAAACAGCGTCGCCCTGCCGGGACTGCTGTAAGGACTAGGTCAGATGGTTCATTCGTTCAACAAGCATGTATTCGGCACCACTGTATGCCAGGCGCCAGGCTAGAACACAAGGCGGAGCGAAACAGGCCTGGCTGTTGTCCTCAGGAAGCTTCATGGTAGGGAAGGAGGAGGATGGGAAACACGGTGAAGACAAGCTCAGAGTAATTACAGAAAGGGATGCGTGCCCTGGACGGGGTGGGGGCTGCAGAGAGAGCCATCAGGGTGGGCTGCAAGCGTGTGGTCCAGGCAGGGTCCCCTCGCGCTTGGCAGGCAGTAGATGCCAAACACACCGAGAGTGGCAGGGCTGCAGCCCGCCCTGCAGCGCCAAAGAGGCGGCACCTGCTCACACATCTGCCCCCAGCACCGGCCTGCTGGGCCCTGCGGGGCAGCGCGAACCTCGTCCGCTTCCGAGCTGCCCCTCTGTGCCCCGCCAGGAGCTGGCCTGCGTCGGAGATCAGGCAGTAGGCGGCTGAAGGGAAGAAACCAACACTTAGCTCCAAACTGGTCCAAAAGGCAATTTCTATTCCACGGAGCAGGCGCCTGGAGCCCCGAGTTAGAACGCTCGGTCTTTCTGCAGAGACTCCATCTGCCTTCCCAACCTACGACAGGAAACCAAATCATGCCAGCAGTCCCTTTAGCAAAGAGGCCAGGGACCCCCAAAAGCTGTCAAGTGCTCACACCCCGGGGACCGGACCGGCACGTTCCCGGACTGGCACAGTGCAGACCCCTGCTGACAGCCTGCTGCGGACACAATGAGGAGAGTCGCTGGGAAAGTCAGGCCTGCAGCACTGCACCGGCGTAGATCACGCGCCCAGTGTCCTCAGCAGTCAGCTCATGAATTCAGGCCAAAGCAATGGTCGATTCAAATCAGAATATCCTTAAAAGGTAGTATTTGTAGCAGGAAATGATAAACATTCCAACCGAATTCGGACTATAGGTCCACAGGTGACCGGCTTCAATGAGCACATAAAAAACTGGAATCAGCCAATGGGTGAATCAAACCTCTCGTACCTGCTTCTGTGGTACCCCGGGCAGTTCCCAGACATACTTGCCAAGGTAGCTGAAGTGCTCCTGCCTCCTGGAAGAGGGTGTCAAGCACCCCTCACAACAGTTAGCACAAACTTGCTTGGCCAACACTGCACAAATTATGTCAAGGCAAACTTCAGCTCACTCCCTGTCCCAACAGTATTAGAATCGGTGACACCTGAGTTGACAGGGACTTCCTCAGCCAGCCACCAAATCCTTGCCATTTCCTGACCTGGTGCCCACAAACAACGTCTCCGTTAGGAACAGACAAGCTCATCGCATTCCCCAATGCAGCCCTTGCAGCCTATACCTACTCTGTTGCAAAAATCCTCGTCTACTGGCATTTTAGTCTGAATTTAGTATTTTTACAGGCTATGGACACAGTGCCAGCAACTCAAGCTTTATTCCCTTAAGCACTGCTAGTTAAAAGAGAGGTCCCCCGAAAAAACGAGAGAAAAATGGTGATGACTACATAACATTGGGACTCCATTCAAAAAATGCTGGGTGACAAATTCAGAGTATAAAGGGTTAAGTGTTCATGCATGTAAACATTTGCTATTCGTGGGTAGGGGCTGCAGAGAAACAAAGAAGAAGCAAACAGTTGTTGGGGGCATGAGAATGAATAGAAAGGATTGCATTTTTGCTTGTTTCATTTTGTCTTTAATACCTTATGGTTTTAAGGCTGGTTTCTCCTCAGACACAAATGGGGTGTGCGGTAAGGGCACGATGGGGTTCCCTGAGACGCTGAAATGCATGTGCACGCTCCACCCACCATGGCCCGGTGCTGCCTCTCCTGCTGGGGGACAGTGGGGAAGCTGCCTTCTCAAGCTCCCGCCGGACATGAGGGTATTCAGTGCAGGGGCCCGGGCTCCGGCTGGGGTCTCCCTCAGGAATACCGTCACAGCCATCCCGTAGGAGCCTTCCCCTCCACAGCGAGCACCCCCGCCTCAAAAATCTCCAAACCCCACGGCTACTCTCCTAGATTCTGATGGAGAAAAACCCTGCCCTCGATCCCTCCACCCCCAACTACCGCAGAAAGACACGGAGTCAAAGCAGTCACTGCAGAAGCAGCTTTACAGAAGAACCAGGCCAGGTGTAGCGGCTCACACCTGTAATCCCAGCACTTTGGGAGGCTGAGATGAGAGGATCGCTTAAGGCCAAGAGTTGGAGATCAGCCTGAGTAACACAGCGAGACCCTGTCTCTACAAAAAATAAAAAAATAAAAAAATTAGCTGGGTGTGGTGGCGTGCACCTGCAGTCCCAGCTACTCAGGAGGCTGAGGCAGGAGGATCGTTTTAGCCCAGCAGTTCGAGATTGCTGTGAGCTATGATGACGCCACTGCACTCTTGCCCAGGCAACAGAGTGAGACCCTGTCTCAAAAAAAAAAAAAGAAGAACCATATTCAAGGTCACCACCCACAAACACACATCCCCACACAGCCCCCCTCCCCAAATGACAACTGCTCGGAAGTGCTGCCACTCCTAGGACGCACCTGTATGGGAGGGAGGCACTGCCTCCACCCTCCGGCAGTGACAGCCTCTACAAGGGATGAGGGCTGTACTCAAGGCCACAACGCCAGGAGGAGCCCACAGCAGGATGGACAGGTGGTGCTGCCGTGGGGCCCCAAATTCTCAACAGCACTAGACTCATCTGTTCCCACAGAAACATCTGCTGAGTTTAGCCTCAGCCCAGCCTCAGGCTCGCGTGGTTCTCTCTGCAATGGTCTTTGTCAGCTGTCAAGTGTCCACCTCTCCCTGCAGAGTATATGTTTCATGAGGGCAGCAGTGTCCACTTATAGCGGCCCTACCACAGTGCTCACACGTAGCAGGGTTGGCGGCCTCTGTCCACGACCAGTGGTGAGCCTCCAGCAGACACACACGCCTGAGACCTGTAGTCTCAGCTACTTGGGAGGCTGAGGCAGGAGGATCGCTTGAGCCCAGGAGTGTGAGGTTGCTGTGAGCTAGGCGATGGCACTCTAGCCTGGGTGACAGAGCGAGACTGTCTCAAAAACAAACCAAAAAAAAAAAAATTGTATATATACATGAAAAATAATACATGTCAGAGGGTTAAGTACTCATGGCTTAGAAAACAAAAAAAAACTTTTTAAAAAGAAAATGAAGATCAATTGGTTGATTGTTTTTAAGGTAAGTGACAATATTTCATTGTCTTATAGTTAAGATTCCACATCAATTCTTGGCTAAATCAAAAAGTACACCAGGGTCCAAGAGCGAGACCCCATCTCTACAAAAAACAGAAAAATTAGCCAGGCAGGGGGCACATGCCTGTAGTCCCAGCTACTTGGAAGGCTGAGGAGGGAGGATTGCTTGAGCCCAGAGTTTGAGGCTGCCGTGAGCTATCATGATGCCACTGCACTCTAGCCCAGGCAACAGAGAAAGACCCTGTCAAAAAAAGAAAGAAAAAGAAACAAAGAAATATACCAGGGTCCATTATTTTCTCAAGTGAGATGACTGTCAACAGCCCAGGGTCCTGAAGAGGTCCGACTCGGTCACCAAATACCTATGCGACCGTCAAGCAATCACCTTTCCTTCTCCTTGCCTCAGTGTCTCCCACGGGGAAGGGCCAATGAAAAAGCCAACCCCCTAGGTCCCTTCCAATTCTGATTCTAGAATTATAAACTAATCATCACCTCTCCTCAGGCTGAAATATCACAAATTCCAAATCACTGGGGTTTGACTTACTGGTCCCCCAAAAGTCTAAAACTATTATATTAACAGTCTTCTTAAGTCCTCTTAAGTTTTTTTGTATCTGTTCCTTCCAGAGGTTGAGGACAAGGACTTGGTCTAGCCAGGCCTAGGCAGGCACAGGTGCCACTAGAGGGCAAGTCATAGCTGTTGCCCAAACAGTTGGCTTCAAATTTCCGAGATAGCATGAGGAGTAGGGAAAGTGAGAACTTTGGGTCGCAATCTATTCCCCACCAGCAAATCTTCCCCAAACAGGTGACAGGTATCCTTTAGAATGTTGGCCTGAGGTTTCCAGCCCTCTTCCACAAACCAGCATCCAAGGGGTTTCATCACCAACCACAGTGGAGAAAGATCAAGGAGGCTGTGTAAGGAACACAGATGCTATTAACTCCCTCTCTGCAAATCTCAGAACCTGGAAATGGGCCAGCCCCTGGAGCATGGCTGCCACACCCCAGGGAACGTGCATCCCCCTAGCACCCACCCACCCCAGACACCCCAAACACACACACACACACACACACACACACACACACACACACAAAATCTGTGAAGTCTTGAGTTGCTCCTATAAAACTGCTATCTTGCACACCTTCTCCAAGGCATCGAGTAAATGCAAAATAGGGCTCCAGTCAGGTCCAGGAAAAACAGCTCCCAGGCACCCTGCTCCTACTCAGAGAAGCAGGTCAAGCACAGAGGTGGAACTGGGTCCCTTTCTGCACGGGCCAACCTTGGCCTTTGAAATTCTCCCTACTCCATCACAAGCCCTGCCTCGGAGCTCACTCCTTCATGCAGCTTTCCACACTTAAGCTGCTTAACTCAGCACTAACAACCTCTTAATTGCTGGGTTTCCAAAAGCCCTTCCAGAAATCCGGGGTGCAGACCCATCCACTGATAGCCCACATACCACAGAGTACAGTTTCGGGGGGAGGGGGGCAGGGACAAGGTGCCTCTACCTAATTCCTGCCTGCTGGAAAGCTGTTGCTTTTATTTTTAATTTTATTTAAAAGGCAGATACAGGGTACCCAAGACACCACAATAAAATGACATTAACTGTAAAATTACATTATTAATTCTTTAATCTCACTTGAGGCTTCAAGCTGTTGCTATGTCCAATTACCCGTGTAGCCACCTGTCAGAGTCCCGGTGCTACTTAGCATTACCTCCAGGACAGCGGTGGGCCCGGTGGTCCGTCAGGTCTGCCAGAGACTCGAAGTCCTGCTGACAGTGATCGCAGGTGTAAATTGACTCATCCTCCATGTCTTCATCGTCCTCATTTCTCTCCTCTTGACTTGTCACGCTGTTCCTGTCTTCCAGCGCACGGCTGGTTTTCCGATCGCACTCCGGCTCTCCTTCTAGGCCTCCTGCCAACAGGAAGAATACAGTCCGTGTCAGCGGATGGGGTCTTGGGAAAGGGTTTTGAAAGAATCACCCGGCATTTATTAAGATACATTTAATTACTCTACCTCCCGGGGTCCATTATCCTTGACACCTCTCAGTATATTAATAGATGGGGTTTTTTTGTAGCATGTGGTGCCGTAATTCTCAACTAGATTCTTTAATTCTTGGTACAAATCTTCTAGGGGGACTTCTTGTCATCTTCCCTCTGGGCATGGATGCTGGGGGTCGTGACCCATCAGGGAGGTGAAAATGCCTCAGCGTTTTGTCTCCTAAAAACCCAACTCTGTTACGAACCTCTCTAGAGCCTCCATCAGCTGGTCCTCATACCCCTAAACTTTTAGTTTTCCCCAAAGCCTCGCAATGTAGACCTGGGAGAATTCCTAGCCACGTTCACCTTGCACACAGCAGGCCTCCCAGTGTGATGGTGTTGGCTTGCTTCTTTGCAAAAATGTCCTGATTCTGGAATCAGGGAGGCACACGCGCTTGAAGAACCGTGGATGGTAAAATCGCAAGCTTACAACGCACAGCCCCTCACCTGTGACCTGGTACTGGCCTAGAGTGACAGCCAGCCTTGGGATGACTCAACTGATTTCTTCAAAATAAAATACCTACTCTATGCTGAGCACTGTGCAGAGAGTGGCTTGTGTGTAGAGAAAAGTGAATTAATGATAATGATGCCTTGCGTTTGTGTAGCGTTCTGTGATTTTTCCAAGCCATGATTATATATACACAGCCCCTTTTCATAGTCTCACACATCCCAGAACTAAAAGGGGGCTCCAGAGATCATGTGGTCCAGCCCCCCACAGAGAGGCACAGCTCTGTTACTCCCATTTCACAGGTAAGGCACCTGGCGTCCAGCCAGGGGAAGCAACATCCCCAGCACCCTACGGACACTTCGCTTGACAACTTAACTCCTTGTCTGGTTCACTTCCCTGCACATCTGTGGGAAATGGAACAGAGCCTCAAAGAGATTAATAAGACACATCACGAACTTGTAAATCAAAGTGCAAAAGAAGCCTGGTAAATACAATACACAGAATACATCAGTAATCCTAATAAATGTCAGTGGATAAAACTCGCCCATTAAAATAGAGAGACATTTGGATTGGAAAAGCCAAGTGTGTGTTGTCTCTTCCCAGTCTGTCCTGGAAAACGGATCTACCAGCCCAGAAACTAGCAACACTAATTTAAATCAAAGAAAAAGATCTCTATTATTTATGCATAAAAATACTTATGCAAATGTATGTGCTTATGCAAACGTACACATACGTATGTGCACATGTTGTGTGCATACATAACCGGTTCCAGAAAAAGGCTTATTAGCACATAACCTTAAGCCCCCAAGGGCTGGTCACCAAAGCAAGAAAGAGAGACGTGAAGCAAAGAATGTGTTCAATTCAAGGTAAAAACCACAGTCCTATAAACGTTTCAATTTAGAAACAGATATTGTTGTAAGGGCTCTATTTCTCCCGTCCGCACAGAACATGCACTTCCAAGCACCCGACATCAAGAACCTGGGAACACAAATCAGCTCATCGCAGAGCCAGCTGCTGCCTTCCGAGGCGGGGACGTTGCGTGACGCGCCGCCCGGAGCTGCGTGGAGACAGTAAAAATCAATGTTTCCATTCGTGGCCCATCAAAACATCTCTCTTCTTACCAATTAAGGGATGTGCAATTTTTAGGTTCTTTTATTATCAGAACACGCCGACTCCCTGCAATGGAAATCCCATGAAAAGCAGGCAGCATGTTTATCTCAGGGAATCCGATCCGTGCTGCAGCAACGGCAAGAAATAGGAAGCAAAGAAATGAGAAATATCGTTTGGAGCCTTCGATATTGTAAGTCATCGCACAGCCACGGTTACACAGTCTAGCGCCCGTCTCTGAAATTCCTCGTTTACAGTCTTTTTCCTCAATAAAAAAATGTTCTGTCGGAGGAAAAGAACCATAATTCCAGCTTTATCTACCACACCAACTCTCCGGATAATAAGTTACAGTCGGCACCACGCTTGTGCTGCTTTACTTAACACACACTTTAATAGACATATTTAAATTATCCCCTTGTTATTTTTTTTTTTGGCCATATTTACTTGGCAGCACTTTCTATAATAGCTCATCTAATCCACAACTGGAACCACGAACATTACAATGTATTTGATCTCTTTAAATCTGGTACATCCTGTTGACTCGGGAGTAGATAAATCAGAATGTCAACTCCCAGGTTTTTATAAGGCAAAAACCCATAAAGTCATCCAAGAGTATAAATCTGTTTTAAGGAACTGTCACCTCCCCTACGGCTGGCTACTAATGGGAAGGCAGGGTGGCTGTGCAGAAAGTGGCGGGCGGGAGGACGGCAATGGGCGGAGGCGGAAGCAAGCTCAGAGCAGACAGGGGTACGGACCCCATCACCTGGGCCCCCTGGGGGCCAGAGGTCGGCCAGCCTGACCCCAGGAAGGGATGTCAGAGATGGAAGACTCCGTGGCCTGAAGAAATTTTGGGAAGCAGGTCTTCCCAGAAGACCCAAGGGCCCCTCTGCTGATTCCGCAGGACAGGAGCCCCTCAGTCCCAGGCAGGGTTTTGCTCTTTGCAAGGCACTTCCGTCCCTGGAAGTATTTGAACCTCATGATCACGAAAGAGGATAAATGGTACTATCTTTCCATTTGCAGGTGAGAAAACCGAGACCCTGCGTGGTGACCCAGACTCACATGAGGAACTGAACCTCACAGTCCTGGTGTTAATTAAGCGGAACACCTTTCCCAGAGGCCTGTTGGAGCCCCAAGCTCTCCGAGGCCCAGGACGGGATCGGAGGACAGAGCGCTCCGAGGACAACAGTCCTATCTGGAGACTCTCTGGGGTCTCCTCTTTCCTGGGCCCACCTGAACAGTTGCTCAGTAAGCCCCTGGGGACCAAATGATTGGACCCTCCCTACTTCTTTGATCCAGCCTGCCTGTCCCCCAGTCCTGCCCTGTCCAGCCCTAGAGGCCCCGATGGTCCCTCCCTGAGGCTGTACGTCACCTGAGCAAGCACAGAGGTGGCAGCCCAGAGCCAAGCACCTGGCCCTGCCTGAGCTCCCGTCACAAGCGCTGCCTCGTGTTTCTGTGACCTCCCGGGCTCCAGCCACAGCTGACCTGCTGGCCCCTCCAACTGCCCGGGCCCGAGGACGCAAAGTCAGCAGGCTGAGGAGAAGGTGGCCAGCTCACTTCACTTGCAGAGGCCTCCGGGGCTGGGAAGGACTTCCAGAAAGCAGCCCGCTGGCTCCTTTCCCCCAGCCCCTGCCCAGTTCTCCTAGGTGCTATCTGCAGCAGCGTGAAGATGAGCTCGCCCAGGGAAAGTGCAAGCTGAATGGATCTTGAATCAGAGCCCTGTCCCTCAGGGCCACATGTGGGGCCCTAAACCCTGGCCTGCCCATGCAGGGGCAAAGCTCCCCGGAGCTCATGCCCCACCCTGGACCACTTACAGCATGGCTGTTTTCCAACGTGCACACCCCCGTCCTTTTGCCCAAGGGCAGCTAACATTGTCTGAGCACTTGCTGTATGCCTGGCAGTTCCAAGCGCAGGCAGCCCTGTGAGTTGCCACCGTCATATCCCTGCCTCATAAGTGCAGAAACGGGGGCTGTGCAGGTGACAAAGCTTAAGCAAGGCCACCAGGGAGTGGCGGGGCCAGGCTTCAAGCCCCACGAGGTCTCCCTCTGCTACGCCTGCTCCTCGCGGCAGAGACTTGATGGAAAAAAGAGCAGAGTTTGGGGAATCTGTAAACCCCCTCGAGCCCCTGTGCAGGGTCCTAACCCCAGAGCCCGGGGCTCAGCCAGGCTCCGCTGACCCCTCTGACTCATCACTGTCTCCGTGGCCACGCAGACCTGCTTCCAGCTCCTTGAACTGCCAAGTTTCTTCTGCCAAGGGCTTCACCCTCCTCTTACCCACCTGGAAGACTTCTCCTACCTCTACACCTACCTCGCAGGTCCCTCCCTGCAGGCCTGAGCACCAAAGCAGCGCAGGTGCCCACTGTCCTTCCCCAGGGGCTCCCTCCCTTCGCGGTCAGAGGTTGGCGCACTCAGCATAACGCACACTCCTACCTTTGTGGACTACTCTGTCACCTGTCTCCCTGCGGCAGACCACATTTGCCAAAGACTGGCACACCACCACCTCCCCTGCTCCTCCTCAGTGAGACCCTGACCCCCCCTCAAGACAAGGGATCTAATGCCCCTCTGGGCTGGCTGGCCTTAGGGACTCCCTTGACCAATAGGATGCAGCAGAAGTGAGGTTCCAGACCCCTGAGGCTAGGGCGGAAGAAGGCTTCCAGCTTCCCCTGCGTCTCTCGGAACACTCCCCCTCGGAACCAGCTACCATACTAGGAGAAGCCCAAGCCGCACGGAGAGAGCGCACAGAGGTACCCTAGACAACAGCCCCAGCTGGGCTCCCAGCCTCCAGCACGGACTGGGGCCATGGGGTGCACCATCTGGGACATCCAACCCAGACAAGCCTTCAGATGGCGGTAGCCCCAGGAACCTCATGGCTGCAACTGTACGAGAAATGCCCTGTGAGACTGTCAACTGAACAAAGTCAGCTCAGAGAAATTCAAGAAATAATAATAAAGTGTTGCTTTGGGCCATCACGTTTGGGGTGGCTTGTTACCCAGCAACAGACAGCCAGAAACCCCCCCCACCACCACCACAGTGTAAGCTCCATGAGGGCAGGGGCCGTGTCTGCTCAGCTCAGTCCCCTCCCCCGCCCCTGGCACACAGGTGGGCACACAGTGGGGTCTCAATGGCTGTTAGGTGAATGGATGCACGGAGTCAGTTTCAAAGAAGCGGGTTTCTGAATATCCACACAGGTGGAGGCAGCGGGAGGGGAGGTGGTTTCCGTGCTATTTAGTATCTG